TATTCGACTATATTTTACGCTGTTCTATTCTAATTAATTTTTCTCAGCCGTCGTCAAAAAGTCGAAATTGATACTGCACAATAAGTCAAATTAACGGTAGGAGAATTAGTTTTAATGAATAAGCCAAAGTCAGCTGATTTGGTAAGTTGTGTGCACTTGCAGACACTGCGTCACGTTTGTTTGGCTCCCCGAGAAACCCCGGGTGTGTGTCAAGTCGTGCGTCCGAGGGCGCGTGCGGCAACATGCGCGGCAAAGTTCATGGCGAAATTGGACGACTCCGGCGCCTATCATTGGAGCCCATATCTAAAGTAGAGTAGATTAGTATAGTCAGCTGATCCTTCTATTCTGCTGTACTTCAAAATTGGGCCCAAATAATAGGCGCTAAAGTCGTCAGAATAGGTATGAATTTCGCCGCCCAGTTTGCCGCGCGCACCCTCGGACGCTCACTTGACCGTCCCCCAGAAACCCGTTTTTTCGCCATGTAGCTCGTCCGACCCCCCTTTTCCCTCGTTTTTTGTAGCTCTCTATTTCTTTATATTCATCTTTTTTTCGCATCGTGAACTGTGCCTTTAAGTATTGGCAAAAGCCATATGGAAACTTTAAGGTTTGCAAGTGAAAGGAGCGCAGCTGTTCCCATCTTCCAGCCACAGGGAGGCTCTCGCCGATGTTGAAATATACAGACAGGTAGGTGTGCGTTCTAGAAATTTGTTCCACATTTCACAAATACTTCAAGGTTTCGTTTAGGTTCTTCTATCAGGTTGCAGGTGCATTGAATTGGACTGTTGGGACGGCTCAGACGGACCGGTGATCACTCATGGACCGGCAGCTGTTATGCGTATGAATGAAATCCCACTAAAGGTAAGCATGTATTGTGAAGAAGGTATCTATGAGCACGATCTCCTACAAAGCAACCTGAATTTGGTTGTGGCAAGTTTTTCTGCCCCAATATATCGCGCCAAAGCCCTCTTCCTACTCGGATCTCAGCTCCGTGGTTCCTTTCACTTTCCTGTGTAGTTCCCACTTCATATTGAATCTTAATTTTGGCTCCTCTACTCGATCGCTCGAAACCAATCCTGTCCACTACGCACTGTATGAATAGATTTATGATCGGAAAAAATGTATTCGCGTTTAATACGATACGAATCTGTTTTTTGAAGGTTGGCATATTGTCGCGACGGGCCCTCACTCCGCTGGGCGGTCCAAGACGATGACAAGATGTTGTGGGGTCTGCGCCGCCGTGGCTTTCGAGAAGAGCACAAGAGAACTGCGCTTGACTACTTCGACTTGCCAAGGTGTCGGCTGTCCTCCTCCTTGTGGGGTGCCTCTTGATGTTATCTACGTTCCTGCGATCCAATTAAAACGACCATCGTGTCTCTGCTCCTGAATACGACCGCTATCCCCAGAACACTGCGCTTGGAGATTAAGGTCAGCAGAGATTAATGTTAGCAATTATGTTATCACTAATGTTGAATCTGTGAGGTGTGCTGTGCGCATGACGAAATAAAGAGGTTAAGAAGATATGTCTGTCCTTCGTATTCAAAATGAATATGATAGAGATGGACTCCACTTACTACACAACCAAACAAATGAAGTAAGTACCCTTGCGCCTGTTAACAAAGCAAAACGATGAGCTCAACTAAAGCCTTACGGGATAGTACCTCGCCTCATTAGGGGTCGCCAATGCGCTTCAACCCTCCTGCTCATGCGCAGTGGCGTTAGCCGGGGGTTATCGACACGTCCGGTTACCACCGCAACGTAGCAGGAGTTCCCACCCAATTCATCCTCACGACGATCCTGACTTCTTCGTCCACTTTCGCACCAAGAGCTGTCCGCCGAAACAACAGCTGCGCAGAGGGGAAAAGGGCATCGTCACCACCAAAGAGTAAATATCACTCGTGTCTGCGTGGAATGATGCTTGTCATCTTGTTGGTCCTCAATGTGAGCTGTGCTTAATCCGTCCTCGTACATTATCACAAAGTAGTTAAGACAAATGAATGACGATGGAACTGAGGACGACAATAGCAAGTAGAGATAGCGAGGGAGTGTTGAAAGAGGTAAGTGGAACCACACGGAGCTTGAAAAGGCTCCAGCCGAGATGAGAACGGTATTAGTCGAAAACTGAAGCTGTCCCTTTTTAGGCCAACATTCTATGTCCGCCGGTGCGCGGACAAAACGCAAGGCTGCAGTGCAGTTGCGCAGTAGGATCCAGTGCGGAGCTCTGAGACCGTCCAATAAACGTTGAAGTTGCTCGTTGCTCTGCTCGTGTGATAGAGTGTAACGACTGCAATAGAAGAAGAGCGCAGAAGAGGTCGTACGAAAGTCACGAGCGGGGATGGCGAGAAGACAGAGCCACTTGTGGGAGCGAACGGAATCGCTTACCTACGGAAGTATACGGACAAATTAATCATTGTCAACCAGACTGCCTAGGTCACCATGTGTTCTCCCAACTCACATGGGTGCGAGCTACCAAGGGTTATTTCGGCCGGGGGTTAAATGGATCATATCACAACAATGGTTGGCTGACACAAACATAAAAATACAGTAACAGAATCAAAACAAAGACCACATTTAGGCTTTTGAGGCTGACCGATATCGGTAGAGGTAGTGCCCATCTTTCCATCGACAGTGCGCGTTGTACGTTGTAGTTGCTGACCAAATGGTTAACGATGGCGACGTGCGACGAGTCAAGAAGAGAAGAGCTCAATGGTTTTGCGAAGATCAAAATTCTGAGCCCTTCGGGTCATTTTGGCGTGAGAGGGAGATTTTTGCTCGCCTCTGACGAGAGCAACTTCTAACCGGATAAACAAAGCATTGGCACGTGGCTTGAACCCAGGCTTTGCGGAAGTAATGACGCGGGCTCCCTCCGCATGCTCCAAAGTTATGTTAGTAAGAACTAAGAGTTCTTGTTGCAAAAACACAAAAATTAAGAAGTTCGGTAGTGCGCGGAAAATATTCGAATTTTTTGCGGGCGCTGAGACTGAGGGTTTTGGTCAACCTTTTTATGAACACCTCGGTTCAGTGGAATTATGAAGGTAATGCGATGTGGACCAAAGAATACAACGAATATTTTTCAAGAGTGCACGTAACGGAAAGCAGTTATTAAGCGAGAAGTGAGCTTGTCGCCAAGGTGCCAAGGTGGTCCGCCCCCACCAGATGTGAAGTCGCGAGGGAATCTTCGCCTGCGATGCGCAGGCGATGGCAGAATTTGAAAGAGTTCGTAAGTGAGATACTGCGCGTAATTTAATTATTCAAAATATGGCTCTGCGCATGATGTGTAGCTGTTGTGCGTTTTTCTAAACACGATGCTACGCTCAGTTCACACTTTCTTTTTTTACTTGTTCTTGGAGAAGGCTTTGCGCAAGTTTCACTGTCCGTGTTCGTAAAAAAGGTTCTGCGCGTGATCTGTAAGTGCGAAAAAGAGAAGTTCCTTATTCTGGAATCCTGTCCGAGAAGGTGAGAAAGCCTTTTGAGCTAATTTTTGCTAACTACGGCAGTGATCTTTCTACGCATTCCTTCATTGTTGCAGAAAGATGGGAAAAGATCTTAAAATGCAGAAAGTGAAGTATGTAAGTCAGTGTGTAAGTGTTAAGCATTCTATTAAATTTGTTAGTGTATGAGAATGGTAGTAATGAAATAAAACTGCAATTTAGTGTAGTTGCTGTTCAATACTCAGATTCGCTGAACTATGCGACGTTTGGTAGTAGATGAAGATTCCTTATAGAATGTTTGATGGGGAATAACGTAGACACGATGATTATTGAATACGTGATCGTCTACTTCCTCAAAGAAGTCGGCGACTATACAATCCTCAATTGCGTGGACGTACTGCTTCCGTGCCGATGTCTCTCTACGAAGACGCTTATACTGGCTGAATAACCGACAAAACGCTAGTTGCTTGATGTCGAGCAGTTTTGGGTGGGATTTTCCAGGGAAATCGTATGTAAAGGAAGCCATTGATAAACTTAGAATAGGTAAAAAACTTCTTCAGAACACGAGAGTTGAACTCGTCATCTGCCTTGGGATGATTGCTAAGTGTTGTGCCTGAAGAATCAAGTGACCAAAGTCGTCTTGCAAGCTCATCGTCACATTGTATGGAGTTCGAAGGTCTTTGGGCTTTTCGGAATTCCGAGTGAAAAACCGAATTACCCAACACGACGGTTCCGAACCTTGTATGTGTTGGTACCATACCGATGGTAAACAACCCGGGGGTTCT